AGCACTTACGGGTAGGCTATCCCGTTGGTTGCTTCTACTTCCTGAATTCGATCTGAAGTACATGACACGCAAGTTAATGAAAGGGAGAGCGGTAGCGGAGTTCCTAGCCGACCACCCAGTCGAAGGGGATGAAGCGGTTGAGTATCTATTCCCAGACGAGGCCATTCTGTATGTCGAAGAAGAGACTTGGACGATGTACTTTGACGAAGCATCAAACCAATACGGGTATGGGATAGGGGTGTTGCTGATAGTACCCAACAATTCCCTCATACCTTTAGCATTCAAACTCCGGTTCAAAGTGTCGAACAATGAGGCAGAATATGAGGCATGTATTGCTGGATTAGAAGCCGCCCTGGAACTAGGGGCAAAACGGTTGGATGTCATCGGGGACTCGAACCTTGTTGTATCTAAAGCTAAAGGAGATTGGAAAGTTAAAGAAGAAAATATGAGAATCTATCACCAGACCTTGGACGTTCTGATTCCTCAATTTAAGAAATTGAACTTTGCTCATCTGTTAAGAGAGAACAACAAGTTCGCTGATTCATTAGCAACTCTATCTTCTATGATAGACATCCCTTTCGGAGTCCGAATGTGTCCGATCATCATTAAACAAAAATTCATGCCGGCCTACGAGCTGATTGCTGCCATAGATGAGGTACAAGATGAGAATCCCTAGTATTACAACATCTGGAACTTCTTGGAAAATGAGGTGTATCCACCAAGGGCAAATGCCAAAGATAAGAGGGCAATTCAAAGAATGGCCGCTTAGTTCATTGTTTACGGGGGTAAACTGTACAAGAGAGATCATCTCGAGATGCACAAGCTGTACGTAGATACTGAAGAATCCAAGCGCCTGATAGAGGCTATCCATCGAGGAGAGTGCGGAGCGCACATGAGCGGGGTGATGCTAGCCCGGAAGATCCTTAAACAGGGTTATTACTGGTCAACCATGGATGAGGATTGTATTGGTTTTGTCCGGCGATGCCACAAATGTCAAATGCATGCAAACCGCATAAACATTCCGCCGTCGAGGCTATACAACATGACTTCACCATGACCGTTTTCAGTCTGGGGGATTGATGTAATTGGGGCTGTCACTCCGAAGGGGTCCAACGGGCATGAGTACATTCTGGTAGCGATAGACTACTTCACGAAATGGGTTAAGGCTCAATCTTACGCGATGTTGAAGACATCGCATGTCGCTAAGTTTATCAACAACAACATTATCTATCGCTACGAGGTCCCAAATGAGATTATTTCGGATAATGGTTCCCATTTCAAGAAGGAGGTGATCGACTTGTTGGAGAAGTACAATGTCGCTTTCCATAAGTCATCTAGATATCGGCCGCAAACCAACGGAGCAGTTGAGGCTGCCAACAAAAACATCAAGCACATTCTGTAGAAGATAGTGGAAACCTACAGGGACTGGCCAGATAAGCTGCCATGATGCTAGCCCGGAAGATCCTTAGACAGGGTTATTACTGGTCAACCATGGATGAGGATTGTATTGGCTTTGTCCGGCGATGCCACAAATGTCAGATGCATGCAAACCGCATAAACATTCCGCCGTCGAGGCTATACAACATGACTTCACCATGACCGTTTTCAGTCTTGGGGATTGATGTAATTGGGGCTGTCACTCCGAAGGGGTCCAACGGGCATGAGTACATTTTGGTAGCGATAGACTAATTCACGAAGTGGGTTGAGGCTCAATCTTACGCGATGTTGAAGACATCGCATGTCGCTAAGTTTATCAACAACAACATTATCTATCGCTACGAAGTCCCAAATGAGATTATTTCGGATAATGGTTCCCACTTCAAGAAGGAGGTGATCGACTTGTTGGAGAAGTACAATGTCGCTTTCCATAAGTCATCTAGATATCGGCCGCAAACCAACGGAGCAGTTGAGGCTGCCAACAAAAACGTCAAGCACATTCTGTAGAAGATAGTGGAAACCTACAGGGACTGGCCAGATAAGCTGCCATTTGCTCTTTGGGGATACTAGACTTTAATTCGAACTTCTACTGGGGCAACTCTGTATTCCTTGGTTTATGGGATGGAGGTTGTTCTGCCTATCGAAGTTGAGGTTCCGTCATTGCAGGTATTGGCTGAGTGCTAGATAGCTGAGGCAGATTGGCAGCAAAACAGGTTCAAAGAACTCATGCTCTTTGATGAAAGAAGGTTGAAAGCACTGTATCACGTCCAGGGTTATCAACGAAGAATTTCCAGGGCTTTCAACAAGAAAGCTAAGTCCCAGAATTTGAAAAAGGGGGATCTAGTGCTCAAAGACAACCGAGCTCCTATCCACGACCTTATGGGCAAGTTCAGACCCAATTGGACTGGCCCTTACATCATCAAGTCTATATGGTCGGGAAGAGCTATCGTTCTGATGGATTTAGATGGCCTTGAGTTCTCCCAGCCGATCAACATGGACAAGTTTAAGAAATACTATCCCTGAGTGGCTCGCTAGGTCGAAAACCCGAAAGGGTGACCTAGGCAAAAGTTAGAGCATGAAAAATTTGAAATAATAAAAATTGAGCTCGCAAGGTTGAAAACCCAAAAAGGACGGCCTTGGCAAAAGTTAGAGCACAAAATAAGAGTGTTAATACACGAGTGAACCTGAACCGAACTACATAAGGCTTGATTCCCATCTTCGGGATACATAGGCAACTTCATTCTGAAGTCTAGCCGTAAACACTTTCAAATCAACTTTGTCCATGTGATCATATTGGTCATCTTTATCTATTCTGCATTCAAGGGCTCGGTTGTGATCTCTAGTGCAGTGCTATTCAGACTAGGGGCAACTTTGCAGTTGATTGGATCCGGGGTTGTACATCTCAATGATAGATCTCGAGCGTGTCCAGTTGTGATCCATATCGAAAATGGTTTTGAAAAGTTTTAATAAAAGTTGATTTTGCTCAAATTAATCTTTTTACGACTTAGACCATTTTTGGACCAAACGGAAAATTTTCAGTACCCACAACCTTCAATTACATTGATTTCAGTACAGAGTTCTCCTACTCTTGAATACAAATTGAAGTTGTTTTTTATTACATTCATAAAGAAAACTTGAAAGTACTGATTAAAGCAATAAGCTTGGAGCATAGTCAGGTGTTCCTGCGTCCCCTCCCAGAGCTTGTGGAAGCCTCTGATGCCAAAGTAGGCCCAACCTGTGCCTCTTCATCAAGCTAAGCTATGCACTCATTAGAGAGGGTGCAACTGAAAGTGGGAGCGGGGGCCAGAAGCTCTCTCGTCCTCCATGCTATGGTATACCGAGCTAGCTGTGCACCTCGGACTGGAAATGCGGCAAGGTATTCTACCCCTTCTTCTGGGCATGTCTAGTCGTGGCCAAATTGACGCTAGAATCAGAACGAAAAGTAAAAAGACACAGTGTGTCAGGCCGATCAACTGAATCCCAGGCTGGCAAGACATGTTGTAAGTCATCGCCGGCAAATTGAGCCAAGGGCAGCGCCAAGCAATGTTGACAGCGGACAGACTGCACATCCATTCGCACCACCATCCCTCATTAGGGGCATTGACTAGACGTAGCCGGAAGAAATAGCCGCGAGCTGAATATGCTGGGCATGAGTCCACAACCTTCAACTTATCCATCAACCATATCTGAGGAGGGATGAAAAATGAGAGATTAAAGAATATAGAGGTGTACATAGAGAGAAAAGTGAGAAAAGAGTTTTGAGAGAAAAACCGAGCCTGAGGGCCGAGTGATGTAAGAAATATATGTGAGATAGGGTGGGAAACATTTCCTGCAGCAGTAGTGGACTCCCCGCGAATCTAGTCGTCTCTCGGCGATGGAAAGCATCCAAACCCATCAATGTCTTAGCTAGTGTCATGGAAATGCAGCTTTTGCCTTCTTTTAAGCCTTGGGCAACCTCAATCAAACGGACGCTAGATCCTCCGGAGCCTGGGGCAAGCAAGAAATGAGACAACATTTACAAGCAAAGCGCATGTCGTCGAAAACCATGCCAATGATGATCGTCGCGGTCACCGGCATCAGAAAATCGACGAATCAGGCTCGGGATGTCCAGTTCTCCATCGCGAATCAAGGACCGAGCGTCATGCAAAGTGAGCCCGCATATCCTTCCTAAGGTTTGGATGTGGCCGAAGCGGAATTGGGGCAAGATCTCTTCATCGCGATGAGATTCCATCAAAGCTTGGAAATCTTCGAAAGTGGGGCACATCTCTTGTCCGCCAAAGCTAAAAACATGAGTTACCGGATTCCAACACCTTGCCGCGGCATGGAGGAACGGAAAACGCAGCGGGGTGCGGCTCAGCATGAATAGTGCATTTATTCCGAAACCCCGACAATTCAACTTTTCTGAGCCATCCAAGTTAGCAATCCAATTTGTGAGATTTTGGACAAGAAATGCTTCCATTTGGTGCAAAAACTGTGTTGAAATGGAGAAACTACGAAGCTGGAGCTTTTGTAGAAGATAAAGTGTTGAGTGGAAGACAGGTGTCAACAATCTGGGCACTTTCTGCATTAATGGCCGACCGGCTAATTTGATGGCCAACCGACCATCTTTGTAGCTGATCGGCTAGTTTTTGTGGCCGATGGCTCTTTATGGTGGCCGATGGCCTCCCACCTTGGCCGATGGCCCCTTCCTTTGTTCTCTGAGCTGTCCATGTCTTGGAAGTGTTGAGAACTTATGTCTTGTTCTACTTTAAATGCCTTTCGGTGATGATTTTGTGAAATTGCGCCTGTGTTACTTCAATTTGTTTATCGAGTTGTATTTGCGTTGATTGTTAAGTTCTTGTCTTGCTTATCAAGTTGTATTCACATTTGGTCAGCATGTCAAGTCCTGGTTTTGCTTATCGAGTTGTTTTGTTCTTTCAGTTGTCAGTTGGTTCACTACCTGATTAAGGCAATGCAATTCGAGTGTGCAATTTTCAAACAAAGTTCAATCTTACTTACACGCTGTGTGATGTGATGCTTAGAATGTAAAATGTAACACTTTTTCAATCAAAAAGTTATTTTCATTCCATCATGTTTTCTTTTTGCAAAAGTACAAAGTTTCAAAGAAAATAAACTGCCTGAGGCAGTATAATGTGCAAAAACTACCAGCAAAAAAGAGAAATAAAGCAAGAACAAAACATCTGAATCGACGCCAGTCGCCTCAAGAGCAGGAATCCCTCATCGTCCTCTTCCTCAACGAAGGCCCAGAACTACCGCCGTCAGCTCCGCCACCTGAGTCTGAACCCGAGCCATCTCCAGCCCCATCTCCGTCCTGAGACGACTCCGACTCTGGACTCACTGCCTCCTCGTCAGACTCATCATCATCTGGGGCAGGCACCCGTGAACTGCTCTCAGTATGAGCACGCCTAGCTCTGCTCCGGCTGTGTGCTGGAGTCCCTCGTCCGACTCCCCCTGCTGCTCGGGAAGGCACTAAAGGTCCTGCTAAGGCACCCGCTGTGACTGGTATCTAGAATGGGGCCTAAAAAGAACAATGTGGCAAATGCATCAATTATGCTATGCGAAGCTGAGTATGGTATCAAATGCAGTATATGATTACAATGTATGAATGTTGTGAGCAATATATGAATGCCATGAGCGGTGAATGATTGCAGTGCATGAGGGCCATGGCCAGTATATGAGATGCAGTGTATCGGTGCCGTCAGTGGTATATGAGTGTGGTGTATCGAATGCAGTATTGATAATGTGATGCATCAAATCAGTATAAGGCAGATTATAGAGGGTTTTGGGACGGAGGTTGAAAGAACTCACCGAAATACCGTAAACACTCAGCAGGTCCATGCTCCTCTGCAGCATCCCCATCACCGAATCCGATAGCTCCAGAGCCTGTCCAATGTACTCTATGGAAGCCTGCAAAAGTGTTGAGGTAATTAGTAATCTGCGGGATATCAACTGAAATGAAATGAATGTACAAAATATAAAAGTATAGCATATACCGGGGTCAAGCCTCGAACTCCGACGAGCTCATGATCAGCTAGAAGAGGAGCGATGGGAATCTGATAGGTCTCTCCAGCCCGTCCTCGACATGTCATAGTAGTGGGCAGGTCTGGCCACCCCGCCCTCTGTCCCCACCGGGAACCCCTCCGACCATGGGCCTGAGTCGTCCTCGATCCTCCCACTCTTCCTACTGTGGCTGCAGGTCTCTCTCTCACCTCGGCGAACACTGGCCAGAGGTGGCATGAGTTATGTCTGAATAAAGACGGTGTAGTCACCGTCGAGCCGGAAGAAGTCGGCATCCCAACTGATCGTGAAATCGGTCATCTCCTGCAGAGTGTATGTCGCTGTATGCCTCATGTGCGAAGGAGGCAGCATCGGGACTATCTGCTCAGGCAAACCGAGGCTCTGTCGCAAGAAGCGCTCTCCCAAGTACCATGCCCGACAGAACGGATCCTCAAGCAAAACCCGAAATCGGGCAGTCTCCAGAGCACCCATATACTGGTCTCTAACTGCATCAAGCAGCACTGCCCCGGGCTGCCAGGTGATCTACAAACGATGGATATACAGGTTGTTATTTGCTATCGAAAGTGCAATATAAAGCAAAGCTCAGATGAACTGTAAGGTTTAAAATACCTCCGCTGCGGCTACAGTGTCAAAATATCGGCGGAAGAATGAGAAAGACTCTCACGGCCTCCGCTCACATCTCCCATCAAACCGATGTGAATATGGAACCATGGGGGGCATCTCTACCTCCGGCTATGGAGCAAGCCTCAGGAAGTAGGCATATACCCACAACTACAAAATGTGAAAGGGCAATGATGAGTATGTTTATCAGTAAAGCAGTATGCAGATAAAGCAGAAATTAGAGAATGATGTGCAGTGTCTTGTGCAGTGTGTGCAGTGTGCAACTAGTGTAAAGCAGATTGCGTGTTATACAGTGTGTGTGGCATACAGATAATGTAAAGCAGAACTGTAAAGCAGAAGGGAAAGATATACCTCCCAGGCTCTCCAGTAGCCTCCTAGCAGGTGCCCACTCCGACGAGATGAGGAACTCATATATCCATACAGTGTGGCCAGGCCTGCGCTTCCCCAGTCATAGCGCCGGATGCGAGTCACGTTTATCAATGCGCTCAAGAGGTAGAGGCCAATGGTGTTCCCCCGGTCGGCGAATAGAGTAGTGCCAAGCATGAACATGAGGAACCCCCAGGCGTAATGCTCGACCTCCTCGCGGATCGTCGGCGTCTGTCCCCTGAACTGGTCGGCGAACCATGAATATCTCACGAACCCTAGTCGGGAGAAAGGTGGGCGGCGAGTGCCGAGCAAAAAGATCTGGACAGCATCCCACTTGCCCATATCAGTGTCGAAAGGGATCGGATCACCCCTTACTCCGATGCCAATGAGCATGGAGAAGTCGAAGGGAGTCATCGTCATCTCCCCTGATGTAGAAAGGAGGAAGAAATCGGTGGTGTCCCACCACCTCTCCACTAAGGCGCCTAGAAGAGGCCGACTCGCAGTGAGGCGCGAGAGTCCCATGCAGAATATGCCAAAACCGGCCCCATCAACGATGTAGCGAACATCATCGGGTAGCTCCATGTACCAATCTCGAGCAATGGTGTTCCCATAAACCCGGAAGGCATGGGAATCTCCCTGTGTTCAAGATAAATAGATGCGAAGCAGTGTCAGGAATATAGTGTATGCATGTGTTCAAAATTGGTAAAAATGCAGTGTGTATATGTGTTCAAGTTGACAGAAGTATCATGTATGAATGTGCTCAGAATGAACTAGACATGCGGTATACAAGTGTGTTTGGGTTAATCAGATGAAGTGCAATATTGGCTATCCAAGACATATGACCTACATTGTAGAAGGTAAAGAGGAAGAGTATACCTCAGCGGCACCATAAGATAAGTGTGACTCCGGCTCACGTAGCAGGAGGTCCTTCGAAGCACCTCGTGCAAAGCTCCTAAACTGGCTAACACTGTCAAGAGGCAGTACGTGTACGTCAGGGTGATAAGACGTTGGATCGAAAGGCCGAATGCTGAGCGGCAAGAGCTCGAACTCAGGATCCATCTCCATCCCTGGAGGAGCCCCATCCTGTGGAATATCATCCGCCATCTCGAGAAGAGTGAGAAAATGGTTGAAGGTATGAAAAATGGGCAAGAATGCCAAGAGTCAACCGAAAGTCAACTCCGAGGGGTGAAAAATGGAAAAAAATGTCAAGCCTCGAGAGAGGGCACGGAAACCAAGGGTAACTCAGGGGAAACAAACCCCAAGTGGTGGAAATTAAGAAAGAAGCACCGAAGGCAAAGTAGCATGTGTAGACGCGCCCGTGGGCCTCACTACAGTTCGGACTCGATTTGTTGTCACGGTTCTTAATCTAAACCAAAGAGTCCAAATCTGGCAAATTGTTTTGAGAAAACAGATTTTTAGAAAAAGAAGTGCCAAACATGGACTGCTTTGCCAGATACAGAGTCGCCACCTTAAATTTATTTTTTATGGGGGAATTTAGGAAACCCTAACTCGGTGCCAAAGGCCACGTGTCCGTCATCACCAAAGTTGCCTCGGCTCGGAGCTTGGTACGATTGGGGAAGGTCAGCTATGAGCACCCCCTCTCGCCCGATCCGAAGATCGGCCTCTACTAACTATGATATCTTGTTTTTTAAAAGCATTATGTGTTTTTTATTCTGGTTATTAGCCTGAATTACTATGTTATGCGCACAGCAACAAGTATAGACCAAATCGCCTAAATTGGAACAAAACTTTTCATGTTTGTTTGAAAATGGTTTGCTACTCGCAAGTAGGCTAAAATGCAGGTTTTGCCACCCTCGAGTGGGCTTTTAGAAAAGATGGTTTTGCCACTATCTAGTGGGCTTAAAACTCACAGTTTTAATGCGTTATCCCAATTTAGGTGATTTAACCTCCATCCACAGGCATTCAAGCAGTTATATCACATAAGCAGCTAGCCTCATGGTAATCATGCTGTTATGCGCAACACTCACACGCATGCGGTATGCTAAAGCATAAATGCTTACGAGTACTCCGAGCCAGAACAAAAACTAGTTAGTAATCATATGCATGATCCTAGTTCTGTTAAGATGGCTAATGCAACACATGCAAAATGCAACTAAGATAGGCTCGGCTAATCTACAATGACTTGTGAGATGCTACAACTAGCACGTATTCAACTTGAATTGAAATACAATGCAGTTAGTATGATGCGCGAGCCCGCGTGCATGCAAGACAAATGTATGGATGCACGCATGCATAGCATAAGGTATGCTAATTTAAATATGCCCTAATACTAACCATCAAAAGCATGTAAGTAAAAGGAGAAAGAAGTGGGGTTGGAAGATATGCACACACGCACCCACACTTATTACAAATTCGCCCTCGTTTGGAGGGACCAAAAGAATATACAAATTAATTATTATAAACCACTTAATTAATTAACAATTAACTAAACTATGGAAAGCAGTAAAGGCCTCGGGAAGAGGATCCAATGCACGCGTGCCCGGGTTTGCTCGGAAATCCAACGCCATGCACAAGTTTGCCTCTGCTTTGACTGTCTGCTTCTCTGAAAATTGCACAACTTCCAAGGTTGCTTCTCTGAGTGTTGTTGGGACACTACCGGCTGAGTGAGATCATCACCAGCCATTTAGAATGTTCATCGGCTAAACATTATGCTCTCGGCCAAACCTGTTTTGCGGTCGGCACCCAACACTGCCGGCCGACCAATTCTTCCTTCCTGCGAAACCTGTTGACAGCAGCAGAGGGAAGACAAGGCAGGCAATGTATTTCAAGCAAATGTATGCACCAACCACACTCCCTATCATGTAAGGGACTCAAGGGAGCATGGCCCTCGACTCGACCCTCGGGCCATCAATCACGCATTTCAATGCATGATGGCCCAAGAGCCAAGTGTGCAACTTCAATATCAAATGAAATGCAAGCACAAAACACATCAAAGGGCCCCAACCCCTATCATGGTTGATCAAGAGGCAAGGGATGCATACTCAATGAAATGCAACCTAGGCATGTGAGCTAAGTGTGCAACATGATCATGCAAACAACAAAACCATGTGCAATAGGCACATGAACTAAAACAAGTAAGCATGCAAGGCATATAACATCAATGTTAATGACACACATGCAATAACATGAAAGGCATAACACATGTAAATATGCAAAGCAACTTAATACAAGAAGCATGCCAAATGCAATGCACTTAAACATACAACATGTTAATAGACTAAGTACCTAAACATACAAACATGTATAGCATGCAAAACATGCAAAATGGAGCAAGGATGTGACAATATGCAAGACAAGCACAAACATCATGCAAAAATGGACTTAAACCAATATAGGTAGCTCTCAAGCATGCCAAAATCATCGGCCAAAATGATGCAACAAAGGCATGAAAACACACACACAAGCATGCATGCACAAAGCCTAAACATGGAGCATAAGCCATCAACTCTCCAAAGCATGAAAGGTATGGAAAATGAAAGTATGCAAGCATGGAACATGGACTGAAAATGGTCTCCAATGATGCCAAATCATGAGAACAAGCCAAGTAAAGCATGCTAGTGACCCACACACCCAAGGCTAACAAGCTAGAATGCAAAGAGGCTATACAAAGCATGGAAAGCATGACCAAAACGATACCAAACAGAACTTAAACATGTTAAAACATGACTAAAAACTTCACAAAGCTAAGCCAAAACATGCAAGCATGGTGGTCTAAATGCTAGGCACATGTTAAGGCAATTCATGGCATTACAAGACAAGTATGCAAGGCAAGCATGGTGTGTCTAAACCAAGTAAAAATAGTGCTATATCATGGCAAAATAAGCACAAATAACACTTAAGACATGGCCAACATGAACTTAAAAATGGTGCTCACATATGAGGCTAAAATGGCACTTTTTGAAGACAACAAGAGAGGGGATGGCCCTCTCCATCTTAGGACCTTAAACCACCATCCTCACCACTAAAATCCCTCAAGATTTCAGTGGTGAGGAGGCCCAAACAAGGTGGTCCCGAAGCTCACCAAAAATAACACAAAATGGGGCCAAACAAGGCCTAAGAGGGGGGTAAACGATCCCAAACACAAAAGTGACCTTAATGAAGTATCTTAAACACAAAAAACAGAACTTTTTTATGTTATACACAAATCCCAAATCCGCAAGAAAGGATAGGCTAAAAAAGGGTGTGCAAAAACGGGGAATAAAGAGGGTAAGAAGTGTTACCCTTGAAGACCAGCAAGAACCAGCAGCCTTTAGACCCAAAAATGCAACCCTCAACCTCTGAAAACAAGACCCAAGAACCTCCAAGTGATGATGGAAGTGTGTGGCTATGAAGTGGTGTGCAATAGGCCAAGAACAAGACCCTTTTGGACCCTCTAACCCACCCCAATGTAGAGAGAGAGGGAGATATAGAGAGGGAGTGATATATATGTGATATATCAGATTTTTCTAACCCCTAAAATGGAAGGAGAGGCTCTCCTTATATAGAGAAACCAATAGGGCAAAGCTTCTCTTAGAAGCTTTGACCAAAAAGGCCAAGCTTTTCTTAGAAGCTTGGAGCAAAAGGGCCAAGCTTCTTGGAGAAGCTAGGCAAAAGGGTCAAGAGGTTCAAGCTTCCTGGAGAAGCTAAAAAAAGGGTCAAGCTTCTTGGAGAAGCTAGGCAAAAGGGTCAAAAGGTTCAAGCTTCTTGGAGAGGCTAAAAAAAAGTTCAAAAGGGTCAAGCTCCCTCAAGCAAAGGTCTCGGCCAGGAAAGGTGGCCGATTGATCAAAAAAAGTGGCCGGCCGACCAAACACAATGCCGACCGACCATCAATAGTGCCGACCGGCCATCACCAATGGCCGGTGGCAAGGAAACAAGGCCGGTGGCCTAAAGCCATGGCCGGTGAGGTGTGGGGATGGCCTACAAGCTACTTCCCACCCTCAGAAGCAAAACAACAAGTGTTTGGTGCAAAACTAGACACAAAACAGTCGAGTCGAGAGATCCTGAGGCAGGGCGCGTAGCCGAGACCTCCGGGAACTCAAGACGAACACGAACAAGGATGATCACTGAGTGTTCAAACGGTGACGTCCAAGTCTTGAGGACGGTCAAAAATGGGGTGTCTACAACATGTTTTTCTACCTCCTTGAGGCTCCATTTCAGCATGTCTTCGGCCTTATTTTAGCATGCCTTAGCTCTGTTTTGGTTTGGTTCGATTGCCTCTTGCATGCTCATTGCACTTGTAGTGCAATTCCACTCACTAGCTTAACATGCATCATGCTTTGGACCATCATTCTAGCATGATTTTGGCTCAACCCCAGCAAGCTTTTACTCATGTTTTCCCATGATTAAGCTCTGTTTTAAGTTATTTCGGTCATGCATGCCTTGCTTTCTATAGCCGTAGTGCATTCTTGCTCACTAGCTTTGAGTTTCCAAGTCACTAGCATGCATTACTTGGGCCATTTGCATGATTTAGAATCATTTGGTATATGATTTCAGAGCATGTTTCATTGTCATACACTCACATGTGTCACTCTTTCAATGTTTTCAAGGGTTGGTGCTTTATGCCTTAAGTATGAGCCAATATGTATGTCATCTGGCCTAAGCTTTTGGGCTGCCATATCAATGTATTTTGGGTCTTATTTTTCCATAATACAACTCTATTTTAGTTGGTTAGAGCATCCCTCATTTGCTCCTTACACTTGTAGTGTAACCATGCTCATTGGCCTTGCATACTTGTTGTTTTTGGCTTACCATGCTAGCTTGTCTTGGCTATACTCCATACATGTTTTAGCATTATTTTGTCATGCTTTAGGACTGTTTTGGTTGTCCTTGACCTTTTGAGGCTTGCTTTGTATAGCTATGGTGTTAATGCCTTGACTAGCTTTGAGTTTTGAGGTATCTTGCATGTTTGACTTGAGGTATTTGCATGTCTTGGCATCATTTGGAATAATATTTCAGAGCATATGGTGTTGTCACACTTCCATGTTTTTCACTCTTTAAGTGCTTTTAAGAGTTGACCCTTATGCCTAGTTGATGAGCCATCATATGAGCATGTGTTCTTGGCCCTTTTGTGCCTAAGTTTTGGTGTGTTGGTCACTGTTTTGGACCCTCTTAGGTCTGTCCATATGTGGTTTAAGTCCATTGAGGATTGTGTTGCATGCCTCTTGAACGATGCTCTTTACTTGCATTGTGTTTGCATGTGTGTTGCATTACATTGTGTTTGGATTGGACGTTAATCCAAACACGAGGAACGAGGGACGTTTCATACTCAAAGTGATGAAACGTACCTCATTCCTTAGGTCACCGGCACCTTTGATCATGTATGATAAGGCAGAGGTTCATCGAGTCATATGTGTTATTTGTGCATTCATTGACATTGACTTATGCAAACTTGGCTTTTTGGCCATCATGCATTGAGATACGTGGTTGGTGGCCCGAGAGTCGAATACCGCACTTCCTTGAGTTTGAGAAATGATAGGGAGGGTGGTTGTGCACACATACCTTGCAAATACACTGTCATGCCTCTGTTTGTTCTCTGTTGCAACAAAAGGAGAAATTGCAGGAAGCAGTGGCCGACCGACCATCAAAGCTGCTGACCGGCCACCAAGTCTGCCAATCGGCTATCAAAATTGGCCGATAGCCATAAACTCTGGCCGATGGCCATTCTTCTTGGCCGACCATCCCTCAGCATGTTCTTAAGGTGGATCAAAAGTATCTTGGAAGTTGGCAAAATTTTCAGAAGTCCAAAAGAGTGCAAACAGAGGCATCACGAGGCACAGTAGTGGATTTCCTAGCAAAGCCGACCAAGCATGCATACACCCCTCACCCCGAGGCTCCTTTTAATTGTTTTGCTTAGCTAGATAACTATTTGGTTCTGTACTTAAGTAGTTAATGCACTTAGCTATTTATTTGCGTTTGTAATTAGTTAACTTGTTCGTTAATTAGTTTCGGTTTGTAATTAATTAGCTTAGCATAGCTAGTTAGTTGATTTATTCGGACCCTCCGTCGAGAGGGCACAATGTTGTAATAAGTGTGCGTGTGTGTGATGCGTGTCTTCTAACCCCATTTCTTTCTTCCTTTTATTTACTAGCTTTCGATGGCTAGTTTAGGGCATGTTTCAATTAGCATCCTTATTTTTGCATGCGTGCATCATTCATTTTGTCTTGTATGCACCGGGCTCGGCGCATCATTCAAACTACATTGTATTTCAATACCAATTTGAATACATGTTATCAAGTTGCATTCATATGCCATTCTAGATAGTCGAGCCTATTTTAGTTGCATTTTTGCATGTGTTACGTTAGGCATTGTTGACATAGCTAGGATCATGCATAATTACTAACTAGCTTCTGTTTTGGATCGGAGTTCACTGTGAGTGTTTATGCTTTAGCATCCTTGCATGTGTGTAAGTGACTGCCATTATAGCATGCTTGCTATGAGGCTATGTGTTTATATGATATAACTGCATGAATGCCTGTGGATGAAGGCTTCATTGCTTGAATTGGAACAATTTATCAAAATGTACGTTTTAAGCCCACTTGAGAGTGGCAAAGTCATGTTTTTCTAAGCCCACTTAAGGGTTGCAAATCCGTGTCTTAGCCTACTTGAGGGTAGCAACTTCAAACTATTTTCAAAAAACAAACATGAGATGTTTTGTTCCAATTTTTGCGATTGAGTCTATACTTGTATATTGTGCGCATCACATAGTAAGATGATTAATAAATCGGAATAAGAACGCATGTGTTTTCAAAAACAACATATCATGTTAGTAGAGGCCGATCTTTGATCGGGCAAGCGGGGGTGCTCATTTCAGGACCTTCCCTCTCGTACCCAAGTTCCCAGGCCGAGGAAACTTTGGTGATGACGGACACGTGGCCTTTGGCACGAGTCAGGGTTTCCTAAATTTCCCAAAACAAAATATTTAGGTGACGACTCTAAAACCTGGCAAAGCAGTCCATATTTGGCACTTCTTGATTAAAATCAATTTTCCAAAACGATTTGTCGGATTTGGACTCTTTGGTGATTTATCAATCTTACATTGCACTTTGTGAGATTAGATTCAGAACCGTGACAGGAGTCCGAACTGTAGTAGCTAGAACTACAATTCGCGCCCTCGCGCGCGAAGCAGAGTTCCGGGCGGTCTACAACCTTATTTTGAGGATGTCATAGCCATTGCATCGCTTTCAGCAATAGAGAAAGGGATTTCGTCGTCTGTGCTGCTGGAAATGAAGGGGCTCGGAACACAACATTCAATGAAGCACCATGGATCATCATAGTAGGTGCTGGTACAATTGACCGAAACAATCTTGCGTCAATAAACCTAGAAAATGGGTTAACCATGGAAGGCACATCATACTTCCCAGGGAGTGTTTACATTACCAACACATCTATTTATTATGGGAAAGGCAACCTAAGCAAAGCAATATGCAATGTTTCAACTTTGGATTCAGAAGAGATTGCCGGAAAGGCAGTCCTATGTGATAAAAGCCCCAACATTGACATATTTGAACGGATGAAGGAAGTTGAAAGGGCAGGTGGATATGCAGGAATATTCGTGGGAGACATGGTGACTTCAGATCGACAGTACTACATTCTTGCCCAGTTTTCCATTCCTAGCGTGGTTTTACATACTACTTATGGGGCTTCAGTAAAGGAGTACGTAACCAGTGAAAATAACGCAAAGGTAAAGTGCATGAAGTTCGTGATAACAACTTTGGGGACAAAATCAGCACCTCAAGTAGCCTTTTTTTCTTCAAAAGGACCTGATCCAATTAACCCAGGTGTTCTAAAACCAGATATCCTCGCTCCAGGGCAAGATGTTCTGGCAACAGTTGTACCCAACAAGGCGAATTTCAAAGTATGCAACTATAATATGGTCACTGATTATGGATTCATCTCAGGGACATCAATGGCAACTCCCCATGTTGTAGGAGTTACAGCGTTACTAAAGGCCATCCACCATGATTGGAGCCCTGCAGCCATCCGATCAACTATCATGACCACTGCAAATACACTTGACAATACAGACACAGCCTTGAAAGACCAATTAACTGGACTTCTTGCCACACCTCTAGACTTCGGGGTTGGCCATGTCAATCCAAACAAAGCAATGGATCCTTGGTTGATCTACAACGTGGGTTTCCAAGATTATGTTGACTTCTTGTGCCGTCTTGGCTACAATAAGAAGCAAATGGGTGTTGTCCTCCGAAGAAATCAATGGAGTTGCAACCAAAATCCCACCGATCTCAATTACCCTTTTTTCATCGCTATATTTCCCAAAAACACCAGCTCCGTAACAACAGAAACCTTCAACAGGGTTGTGACGAACGTGGGAGATGATACAGCCATTTATCGAGCAGTAGTAGTTGTTCCTAGTGGAATAAGTATCAAAGTAGAGCCCAGTACTCTCACATTTACCAGCAAATATCAGAAGCAAAGTTTTTGTCGTGAGCATAAAGTTGCACCCAACATACAGTACGGTTATCTCAAATGGATCGATTAGCATGAACACATAATATCAAGCCCTATTGTAGCCATTTCTGGCTGAGACATGCTCACGAAAATCTCTGAACAGATTTTCTGCCATGGCACTTTTCTCTACAAATAATTGAGGAACTATGCCTATACTGAAAGTACAACATCAAGTAACTTGTTTAGCACAATAAAGATTGAAATAAGCCATTAGTAAAAGCTATTAAAGTTTATTTATCAAAAAAAAAAAGTTATTAAAGTTTATTGTTCTTTGTAGTGTCTGTGTGAATGTGGGCTGCATGCACGTAAGTATGCAGCTTCCAAAAATCAAAAATTGGAAGTTTGTTAGTCTTCACTCAGAAAAACTAGTATCTCCAATATCCGAAAGCTGAATATCAGCTAAAGTGAAATAACAAACAACTATACACAAATTGAACATTGGTACGGAAAATCTATAGCTTGCTCATCTGGACACCAACATTTGAATCAAAGACCACAAACCAGTGTGCTTAATTCTGTTGGCATCACTTCTAAAGTAGACCCGCTTGGCTGGTCCTAACCATGCAATAAAGTTGTTTCCGCATATAAAAATTAAGAGTTAGAAGTTCAACTTACGATTTTATTAACAAAGGGTTTTATGTCCTTCCCTTTCTCCCCCCCTATAGATAAACTTGTGTTAGGCTTAATTTCCTCATCTATTTAGTTGCTTTGGCAAGAATTGTAACCAAACATGATTAACAGCAGAAGCACATTACTGGACTTGTGCATACTTTCTTCCATCTATCATAGCCACAACCTTCACCCATTGGACTTCAATAGATTCTCACTATTAGCTTAGGCTATGAAGTGGATAAAGGTAGACAAGAAATGCCTGCATAATACTTAATTAATTAATAAGTGTTACACAAAAGTTAAAACTTACTAGATTCTAAACAAATAAATCAACAGACCCATTACATTAATTCTTGGCATTCATGTGTCCTAGGCCTTGGCCCTCACATCTCTATACAAAACATATAGATTTTCCTGCATCTGCTTTATATATACTTAGTAATGTGAATTCGACATTGTAGCTTCCATTTTTTAATATGTTTTGTTTCTAGTCCCACCAAAAATTGCACAAACATCTACACTATCTAAACTATAAAATAAAGCACACAACTCACAAGGTTTTGAACCTTTGTAAAAAAATTCCCCCACCCCAAAAAAAAAAATACCCATATTGTTAAAATAAATGCTAGCAGTTATCAAATTCAACTCATCTCCATTCATCAAATCACCAAAAAAAAATTGGATGTAAAACTTGCACCCATTTCTAGTTATCAAAATTTCCACACAACAAAATTGAAATACAGCACTATTGAAGTTTTAAAGCAAACACCAATTAACAAGTCAGCTTTACACATGCAATGTTTAGAAAACACAATCAAACCACATTGCAGGTTCATGGTTACCTTTTAGAATCGCAAGACAACATTGGTCTCATTTTATGATTTGAATAACTCCATCCCTGCATAGAATACATATATGTATTATAGTGCGTTGAGAAGATTAATTAGAACAGAAAAGGAATGAACTAAGTGAGGGATTGAAATTGAAATCAATGTAAAGCGATTCGCAAAGCCATACTATTTTTATACGGGGCATCAGATTTAGAGATTACCAAGATATATGAAACAGAGCGTTGAATAGAGGAAAACCCTTTGCGACGAAGTTGAATAGACCGTGAAGATACGAAAAACCAATCGAACGGTGAAGTGAATAAAGCCAACATTTGTCCAATTTCTAATTAACAAGTCAGCTTTACACATGCAATGTTTAGAAAACACAATCAAACCACATTGCAGGTTCATGGGTACCTTTTAGAATCGCAAGACAACATTGGTCTCATTTTATGATTTGAATAACTCCATCCCTGCATAGAATACATGTATGTATTATAGTGCGTTGAGAAGATTAATTAGAACAGAAAAGGAATGAACTAAGTGAGGGATTGAAATTGAAATCGATGTAAAGCGATTCGCAAAGCCATACTATTTTTATACGGGGCATCAGATTTAGAGATTACCAAGATATATGAAACAGAGCGTTGAATAGAGGAAAACCCTTTGCGACGAAGTTGAATAGACCGTGAAGATACGAAAAACCAATCGAACGGTGAAGTGAATAAAGCCAACATTTGTCCAATTTCTCGTTTTTTTTTTTTTTTTTTTTTTCCATGTTGCCACTAAAAACTAAGATCAAGAAAATGGATATGCATAGCAACCATGGCTATTCCCAGAACCAAATACAATAAATAAATAAATAAATAAATTTTAAAAAAAATGGAGATGTTACGATGTGCACCTTAAAAAAGGTGTATATGATATGTTTTTCGTAATTTTTTTACAAAATTTCATTATTTAAACTTAAAATGCCATAATTTTTGTACTACAAATGTCATAATTTTTTTTCACTGAAAAATGTCATAACAAAATCTCAAAGTGTCATAACAAAAATTATAAAATGTTATAACATTATCATTTTTAATTTTAGGATGCACATCATAAATTTGTTATTTATAATTTTACTACAAAATGTCATAACACACATCACAAACAATCATAACGTTCAATATAAAAAAATTCATAATTTTTTTACAATGTACACTATTTGAAAGGATACATATTTTTCCTTAAAAAAATTATAAAAAAAAAACATAGAAAAATTGCTGAAAAAATAATCGATTAATTATTGAACTCGTGACATAACGATTGTTTAGAACTAGTCACATTTGTTTTTCGAAATTTTAAATTTTTAGTGATAATTTTTTAAAATTATGTCAAATTTTTTTGACTTTTCTAGTCTGAATCTAAAAAATATTTTTTTTTAAATTAAAAAAAGAGATAAAATAAGTTTTAAAAATTCACTATTTTTAACTTATTCTTATCTTTTTTTAAACATTTTTTAGAATTTTTTAAATTTTTCGAGTCATCTCGTCGAGAATCTAAAAACTTAAAATTTTTTCAAAAAATTTTTAAAAAAGTTTCAATAACAAAAATAAGCCACTAAAAAAGCAAACCTCAAACACCACAATAAAATGTCCAAAATATTTTTTTTGTTGAGTTTAATAACTAGTAAAATATATATTTTTTTGTCATTTTATTAACAGAAATAGACAAATGATTTAAACTAAAAGAAATTAAAAATTAAGAGTTTAAATTGATAAAATCAAAAATTTATAATTTATTTTGTTATAATGATCTGAGAGTATTTTTTTTTTTTTTTGGTAATTAAAGAGAATAAAACACATAATAGATCAATAGAATTAAATTATTAGAAATATATTCAAAATATTTGCTTGAATATATAAATCATACTTGGTTTTTTTTTTTTAAGAATCTACACCCATATTAGTATTTTTCTCGAGAGAATTATATCAAATTATATAGATGACTATAGGGGTTTTTAGTTAAAAGGTCCCTGATAGTAAGAGTTTATAAAATAAAGGACATGTAACATTTTTATAATAATTGAGATTCGTCCATCAACATTTTCACAAAGAAATTTTGGTATAGAAAAATTTATCTTTACAGAGAAATTTCAGCTATTTTCTCTATGACAGGCAAAAATTTCTCTTAAAATATCACTAAAGGACCTTAACTAATAAGAAAAATATATTAGACCTCTACTACTATCAAAAGTTGGATAGTATATATAAAGCATGAAACCGAATGAATAAAATAAATCTATAACCTATATATAAAAGAGTGGAAGCAAGCAGCTATTTTTTAATCTAACGCTGGTGGAATTACTAAAAATGCCTAGCAAGTGTTCACATTATTACCTTTGGCCCTAAGAATTCACTTACGTGTCATTTGCAACTCTTCTTCCCAATTTTTTGGTTTACGTGTCTTCTTGGCCATACGCCATTTGACTAAGGTAGGTGTATGTGTCTTCCGCTAAGTATTGCAACCAAACCGGGTGCAATCATCTGTCCCTCCAAGAATTTTCTTGTGTTTGGTGGATCAAATTTTGCAATCAAACGATTCTCTGTCAGCCGAAGACAAACACATATGTATATATATACTCGTTGTTCTGTTTCACTTCCCATCTTGGTTTAGCTTCGTTGTTTCTAGGTACACAGATTACATCCCAAACTCCACAACCTGGTATGTAATTTAGTTGTTTTCTACTTCTTTTTCTGCTAGCTGTGGATATATTGATATATGATTTGAATGCCTCTGTTCTCGTAGGTGCTTGTTAGTGCATACACAAATTAGGCACACCGCCTGTTTGACAATATGCTGGAACATGCAAACCGAAAAATTGAAGGCCTACTTAATTGAAAACTTGCATTGAAAATGTGTGAATGCTCGTAAAAGTTAGAGAACTCATACTCAAAAACTAAAATAAATGATGCTAAAAACTTTTATCTCCACTAACAAAATTGATGGATTTGTAGCTTTAAAGACATTATGTATGAGTCGATTTCTGACCACACTGCCAAACAAGTATTCAATTGGAGAGCACTGGCAGAACAGATGGCGCCTGAATGACCTGTAACAGAAAAGAAGAGATTCTGGCGGTGGTTCGTCCACCCGGGGGCACTCCGATGATCAAGTCAGTTATCTCTCAAAGATAGCAAACGTGCTTAACTCACTATTCAGAATATAAAAAGCGTACCTTCGACCCATGAAAGTGCCTCTCTTTTATAGCCAACACAAACCTAGTCCCAATAGAAGCCTAGCTTCGATGGACTTAGGATTACTGCTAATCTTGGACTCCCAGTAAGATCGGGATAAACTCTCTAAGAGTCTTATCTTTACCCAAATTGAAGTCTTCTCCCATTCTAGGACTCTTGTCCCTTATCTGCTTATCCCGGATTCTGGTATTCTCACAGATAACCTCGGGCTAGCCGAGATCATCTCGGCATCATGACCAGGACACGTGGCACCCCGGCTGGCACTTCGGTGACACCTCGGCCACGTGCCGTCATTCAAAATTTATGTCCCCACAACTGCCCCCTAAATTCTATTACCCCGGCATCCTGAGGTGATGGAACCTATGTCATTTCTTCCATCTAGCACGTCGGCTAAGCTCGCATCATCATTCATTGCCGAAGTCAGAACTCGCCGGCTCAATATGACCAAGACCTATAGTTTGCTTTCATCAATGCTTTGGGACCAACAACCAAGTTCATTCAAGTTCATTAAGTTGAGATTGCCTCCTTAGCCGAGGTCTTTGCTTGTTTAAACCAAGAACTCCAAGAGTTTTATCACGCGTATGAGCTGTCTCGCACAGTATTTCAACCGTTTCTACTACGCGTCTTTCCCTTATTGGATCGTACCCGATACGTGCCATCAAGTCGTATCATTTTTGCGTGTGCCGTCTGACAAGCACGTCGTCATAGGCATATTGATGGTGTTTTGCCGCCATTTCTCTGCATTTGATCAAAATCAACCCTCTCTCTCTGTCTTTTCACTTTTGTATCCTCAAGTTTGTACTAACTCTCTTTCTCTACTCTCCCAAATCCGTCATTGTTCTCAAGCTCTTTGAGCTCTGCAATTACTTCCACTCTCCCCTTCCAACAAAGCCTTTGCTAATCTTTTCCGGTCGCTGCCATCATCTGATTCCGGCGTACTCTACATCGGCTTCATTTTCTTCGGTGAGTTACTGTTTCTCTTTGTTTTAATTTCTTGTTTTGTCTTCAAAGAACTCTACCGCTTTACTTGCTGCCTTTGCGAACTTGCTCGTGTCTGTTCCCGTTTAATTTGTATCTCAATTTCCACCATGTATTGAGCATGTTTGCTTCATGATTCTGTTTTTGCCCAATCCATTCTTGAATATACTGCTTGTATATTAGTTGATCCTTGCCACTGTTCTTGGCCTTACACACCTGTACAAACTTTACCACTGTGTTCTTGATGATTCATCGCTGTTCTTGATTCTGAATCACATTCCTGTTTCAGTTTGCTGTGTTTTTTTTCCAGATCCTTGCCTTCAACCTTCATTTGCCTAGACTTAGGTTTGAGTTTTATGGTAGAATTCACAAATCTTAGGAAAAACTGAAACGAATCCCCCTTAGATCCTCACAAATTCTTACCACAATGCATATTTAGGTTTTAGCCGAGGTCCTTCAAACCTTCACAAAAACACTTCCTTCTGAACTCCAACACCTTCCCCCAAGCCGATATCATGGGTATGTAGAGGCATAGGGTAGACACCCCAACTAAGTTAGAATACTTCAGGCAGGAGTTTGGCATCCCAGTCGACGTTCACCTGAGGTTGTCTAGGGAGAATGACTCCATCATGCCTGATAAAAACCTTATGCCTTTTCTTGTCGTTGCCTTTACAGAATGTGGACTTAGGTTTCCACTAGATATCATTTTCCGAGAAGTCCTCCATTACTACAAATTGAACCCGATGCAGCTTGCCATTAACTCTTACCGAGTTATCAATAGTATAATTGTCTTAGCCAAAAAAGAGAAAGCTAGGGTTACCCTTGCCAACATCCAGTATTGCTATACCATGTGTGGCCTTAAATTAGAAAAAGGCTACATCTACTATCTTAAACCGAGGTCCACAGAATATAAACTTGTTGCCGACCTCCTAGACTCCAACAAGGGAGCCTGGGACGATTACTTCATTGTCTCGGGCAACTGGGAGTTCGCTCTAGATGAGGACCTTCACCTCTACCCTCTTAGCCGAACAGTATTCATAGAGGATAATGGTAAGAACCAAGTGTTACATTTACTTGCTTTCAAGCCTTTAATACTTTGTTCCTTCTATATGTTTTGACGTCTGT